GGTTGAATATTGTGTCGTAAAACACAAGTAATTGTTAAAAATTCCTGAGAGAAGCGGATTTACATAATTCAAGCGGATAATGACTTCTACAAAATTGTTAAAAATTCCTGAGAGAAGCGGATTTACATAATTCAAGCGGATAATGACTTCTACAAGTAAAACAAGTAAAGTTGGTAAATACGAGATTGAAAAATTCAATAGAAAAAATGATTTTTCCTATTGGAGGATGCAGATGAAAAATTCGTTGATTTCGCAAAAATTACACAAGGCTTTGGCCGGAAAAGAGAAGAACAAAAATATGTCTGATGAGGATTAGGAGGAGCTGGATCTGGAAGCACGGGCGTCGATTATCCTTTGCCTTGAAAGGGATGTAGCTTTCTTGGTAGACGGGGAGGAAACGGCTGCGGGCGTGTGGTTGAAGTTAGAAAGCACATTCATGACGAAGAGTCTAGAACCCGATCTCTATTTAAAATCCAAATTGTATACTTGCAAGATGGGGAATACATCAACAAGTTCGATAGGATCTTATCGGATTTGAAAGATATTGAGGTGATAGTGGAAGACGAGGATCAGGCGCTTCTACTACTTCTATCTCTGCCAAAGTCTTATGAAAACCTGGTGCAAACACTGATGCTTGTGGGTGAAAATTTATCGATGGATGACACTAGAACGGCGCTTCTAGCGGATGATCTTCGAAAATTTGTAACTAGTGATATGGCCACTGGTGGTAACAAAGAACAAGCGCAGGGACTGTTTGCCAGAGGAAGAGGCAATGAGCGAGGAAAAGGCAAGGGAGGAAAGTCTAGATCTAAATCAAGACCTCTTGCGGGACGAGCGTGTTTCAAATGCGGTGAAGTTGGGCATTTCAAGGTCGATTGTCCTAACAAGAGAGTAGGTGGGAAAAAGAACAACAACAAGACTGAAAGACGAGAAGGCAAGGAAGAGGCGAGCTACGCTTCAGAGGATGGGAGCGATAAGGAATGTTATGTCGTCACGAATGGCGAGGATACCTCCGGGAAGTGGATTCTTGATTCTGGTTGCTCTTACCACATGTGTCCAAACAAGAAGTGGTTTACTACCTACAGGAGCATTGATGGTGGAACCGTATTGATAGGGAACAACCATGCTTGTAAAACGGTGGGGCTAGGTGATATCAAAATCAAGATGCATGATGGAGTGGTTCGAACCCTGACGGACGTACGACACGTTCCCGGCTTGCGGAAGAATCTCATCTCAGTCGGAGCTTTGGACTCCGGGGGTTGCAAGATTGTAACAGAGAACGGAGTGAAGAGGGTTGTTCGGGGTTCCTTAACAGTGATGAAGGGTGTTCGTCACGGTAATCTATATACTCTCTCGGGTACGACGGTGACGGGAGATGCAGCAGTTGGAGCTGAAGGAAGTGGTGGAGACCCATGTGAGCACACACGGTTATGGCATAGGCGGCTTGGGTACATGTCAGAGAAGGGTCTGGATCTGCTTGGTAAGGAGGGTTTGCTGAAGAATCTGAAAAAGTCTTGCATGGATTTTTGCGAGGACTGTGTGTATGGAAAGGCGCACAGGGTTCAATTTCTGAGGAGCAAGCACAAGAGCAGAGGGATACTAGATTATGTGCACACGGATGTTTGGGGTCCGGCTTCGACAACTTCGGCATTGCCAGACACTGGACAGTCAGGTCTACACCACAGCAAAATGGGGTCGCGGAGAGACTGAACCGAACACTGCGGGAGAAAGCAGTGAGTATGCGATCATATGCTGGTTTGGGCAAAGAATGGTGGGTAGAGTCGATTGCTACAGCTTGCCATATTGTGAATCGATCTCCACATTCGACATTGGACGGTGATACACCCTATCGGGTGTGGTCAGGGGAGCATGCAGATTATGAGAGGCTCCGGATTTTCGGGTGTATCGCCTACTATCACGTCAACGAGGGAAAGCTTGACGCGAGGGCCAAGAAGGCAATTTTCTTAGGATATGCAAAGGGCGTAAAAGGCTACCGCCTTTGGTGTACAGAAGATTCGAAGTTCGTGATCAGCAGAGACGTTACCTTTGATGAGAAGTCCATGATTGTTAAGGTGCCCAAGGATGGTGGTGTTGAGACTGTTGGGACTTCCAAGCCCTAGGTTATTAAGATAGAACCTAAAGACCAACCAGGTTCTAGTCATGTTCAAGTGGGAAATCAGGTAGATGATGAGCTTGAACAGGAGGAGGTTCAGCAAGAGAATACACATGCACTACAACAACAGCAGCTCGAGGATAGCTTGGTTTCTACTAGGCCAAGGCGAGCATACAAGCAGGTACAGAAGCTGGGGGCTGATCAACCCCTGAAGCACTATGGGCATGTTAATTTGGTTGAATACGCACTCTCGGTGGAGGAAGATGAGCCGGTCTCCTTCAAGGAAGCTATTCGAGACAAGAATAGTGAGAGTTGGTTGGCTGCGATGGAGGAGGAGATGGAATCTCTCCGGAAGAACCAAACATGGGAGGTGGTCCCATTGCCCGTAGGAAAGAAAGCTATAGGTTGTAAGTGGTTGTATAAAAGAAAGGAAGATCCTTCAGAGCTCGGTGGAACGAGGTACAAGACGAGGCTAGTGGCTAAGGGGTTTGTACAAAGAGAGGGTGTGGATTACAATGAGATATTTTCTCCGGTGGTGAAACACACTTCTATTCGGGTGCTACTGAGTATTGTTGCTCATGGTGATCTTGAGCTGGAACAACTCGATGTCAAGACGGCCTTCTTGCACGGAGACTTGGATGAAGAGATCTACATGCATCAACCTGAGGGCTACAAGGTTGAGGATAAGGAGCATCATGTATGTCGCTTGAGGAAGTCACTTTACGGATTGAAGCAATCTCCGCGACAGTGGTATAAGCGATTTGACTCCTTCATGCTGAAGCATGGGTTTTCCCAAAGCGACTATGATTGTTGTGTTTACATTTGAAAGCTTCGTGGAGGTAATTATATCTATCTCCTTTTATATGTGGATGACATGCTTATTGCATCGAAGAACAAGGTGGAGATAGATAAGCTGAAATCTCAACTCAGCAAAGAGTTCGAGATGAAGGACATGGGCGCTGCAAAGAAAATACTGGGTATGGAGATTAGAAGAGAGCGGTCGAATCGGCGATTGTTCTTGAGTCAGAAGGGCTACATAGAGCGGGTGATCGCGAGGTTCGGGATGCAAAGTGCTAAGTCGGTGGTAACTCCTTTGGCTCAACACTTCAAACTTTCTGGTAAACAATCTCCCACTACAGCGGAAGATAAGGCACACATGAAGCGTGTTCCTTATGCTAGTGCAGTTGGCAGTTTGATGTACGCCATGGTGTGTACACGTCCTGATATTTCACAGGCGGTTAGTGTGGTCAGCAGATTCATGGCGAATCCAGGAAAGGCGCACTGGGAAGCGGTGAAATGGGTCCTGAGGTACTTGAAAGGTACCGCGGATACGGGTCTGTGTTTTGGTGGAAATACATGTCAGGTCGACCGGTATGTAGACTCAGATTATGCGGGCGATCTAGATAGACGGCGATCTACTACTGGTTATGTATTTAGGATACATGGAGCTCCAGTTAGTTAGCGATCGATGTTGCAGGCTACAGTGGCACTTTCTACAACAGAGGCCGAGTACATGGCTATGGCGGAGGGAGTGAAGGAAGCATTGTGGCTGTGGGGTCTTCTAGATGATTTGGGGATCGAGCAGGAAAGTGTGAACTTGTGGTGCGATAGTCAGAGTGCGATTTACTTGGCAAAAAATCAAGTTCACCATGCTCGTACTAAGCATATCGACGTCAGGTATCATTTTGTGCGGGATGTCATAGAGGAAGGCGATATTTCTCTCATGAAGGTGCATACGAATGAGAATCCCGCGGACATGTTAACCAAGGTGGTCACAGGTAGTAAGTTTAAGCATTGCTTGGACTTGCTTCATATCAACCCGTGTTGAGTTGCCCAAGAGGGCATGGCCCTGTGGGCCGGTGATGGAGGTGAGGTGGAGACTATGTTGGAGAATAATTACAGAACTACGGTTAGCTTGATCCCGGTGGAGGGTACGTAGGCAGTCGCGGTATAGTGACGCAGCTGGTTTGACCTAAATATCTCTCTGGTGGAGTTCGTGGGGTTCTTCTGGTGTTCGTCCAAAATTTAAGGTTTATCAAATGATGTACGAGGTGGAGAATTGTGAGCGGGGGGACAAGGGGGCCCACCCACGTGGGCCTGCCCACGTGAAGCTGCCCCTGCCCTTTCGTGTGCGGCGCGACGAAACCTCACAGCCCGCGCGGATTTTTTTTTACTGCCCGCGCGCGCGTCGTTTTCCCGCCGTTTGCTCCCGCCAAATTCTTCAGCTCCTCCCATTTGGTTTTCCTATAAATAGTGAAGGGGTGGAGGAGTTATAGTGGTGTGGGAAAAATCTCAAGTGGAGTTTTTGAGAGAAAAGAAAGAGAGAAAGATAAAACTTGTATAAGTTTGATATTTTTCTCCATAGTGAAACCCCCTCCCGTGGACGTAGGCTAGTTTACCGAACCACGTAAAAATCCCGTGTTTGTATTGTCATAACTATTTGTTTTACTTGCAGGTGCCCTCGATAGTTTAGGCCTTGCACTAATGAGAGGAAGAGTGGATATCTCACTTCGCTGAGATATTTCGCTACTGAGTCTGGGTTTCCTTCGCGAAACACAGATATCGAGTTTGACTTGTACTTTTGTGAAAACAAAAGTTAGGGCTCTCTCTCAGGACATATTGCTTCCGCGACGGTGGGCGTGACTCTGCGCCCAACACTTGGGTTATTTAAACATAAAATTTAAGAAATAAGCAACTATTTTATACTGGATTCGGATCCTCTCACAGCCAAATCTCATTATATTATTTTAAAAATTCAGGGTTCCCTCCTTTTATATATATATATACTATATATATATATATATAATATATATATATTATATATATATCATAATAATCGCTCCAATGGTTCAGTATTGAAATTAAGTCGGTATTCAAAAGAGTACTGGATCAGTTGAAGAAGGTGGGGTATATATCATGGCCGAGCATCGTTTTGCGCAGAGCATGCCGGTGGTGGCCATGGTGGGGTTGCAGTTCATCTACGCCGGCACGGCGCTGTCGGCGAAGGCGGCGATGAAAGAGGGGCTGAGCCCCATGGTCTTCGTCGTCTACAGGCAAGCCATTGCTACTCTTGCCTTGGCGCCTCCCACCTTTTTCTCCACGAGGTCCTCCCCCTCTCTCCTCCCCTGCTCTGTCTATGTATCTGTACATGGCGAAATGTCACGGAATCCCCTTAAGTTTTGGGGTTCTCGAAGAACCCCCTTCGACGACTTTCAATGTTTTAATTGATGTAGTAGCAGCACTGTAAGGGATCTCTATAGTCTCGCTCTCTCTGACTAAGCTTAATTATTTGCATGTGTAATCTTAGGAGAAGGGGAGATCAGAGGTCTATGGGGCTGAAAGGATTCACCTTGTTGTTTTTTGCAGCCTTTATTGGGTGAGTCGTATAAGAACAAGTTCCCATCTCGATTTTTATTTGTCAGATTAATTCCTCATGTAATCTCCAAATTATCATTCGTCTGTTCAACATCTCATGCCGCAAGCATGTACCATAAAATAAAAACAATTCCTTAGTTCTAAAAAATCGGAGATCTCCGATTTTTTCTTTTGAATAGAAGGGTATTTTGCGAGACTAAGAAGGAACTTTCCGTCACATTCTTGTGTCATGTGCTTACTAGCGATATATTATAGTTGATGGTACTAATTAATGTGGGGAATAAAAAGTAATCAGGTAAGATTTAGTGAAATAAAACTATTCATGATGGAGGTTATGCGCAACTTCCTAAATTTTCAAGGAGGCTTAGTGTTATGAGAAAAAGTTGATGAGGAGTTTACTGCAACTCTCCAAAGTTCACGGGGGTTTTCTGTAATCGGCCCTTTCGAAATTACAAGTAACTTTTAAACAAGAAAAGAAAGTAGAATCATTCTTGTCCTAAAATTAATCATAGATTTCCATGCTTTTTCCAGTGTAACCACCAACCAATTCTTCTATTACCAAGGATTGAATTTGGCATCAGCATCCATGGCGAGCATAGTGAGCAACGTAACCCCTACCATTACATTTTTGATGGCAGCTTCTGCAGGGTAAATAAACCCTTCAATTCTATTTTATATATCATTAAAAAAATTGTTATTGAAATTACATTATTTCAGAAGAAAAAAAAAACCCTTGATTGGAAACTAAAAATTTCAGTTAAATTCCTCAGGTTGGAGAAGGTGGACATGAAGAGCCCTGCGGGCGTTGCAAAAGTTTTTGGTACTGTTATTTGCGTTGGAGGAGCAATTTGTATGGGATCGTTCAAAGGTCCAGAGCTCATGACCACAAACTCATCTCAAACCTTGATCTCCGTGTTGCATGTTGTGGGCAAGAATTGGAAGCTAGGGTTCTTGTGTCTCTTAGGGAGTAGTTGCTCTTGGTCAATTTGGCTAATTTTACAGGTATAGAGGGGCTTTACCCCAGGAAAGTATTTTACAGTTTTTTCTCAGATTAGACCCAAACCTCTCATATTTTTCACATTTTTAATTTAGGGGCTGTTTGGTTCGCTATTATAAGGGGTGGAAAACTTAGAAAACCCTTCCACGTCAGATTTTTAGCCCTCCACGTCAGTTTTTTTGTTTCCGTCCATTTCTTTGTGCCGCTTTGGTTTGCTCGAATGGAAGAGGGAAAACTCTGCTGAAATCGCCGCCAGCTCATATTTTTTCCCCTCTCCGATTTCCTTCCCCAACCGAGTGAAATTGATGAAAATTCTACCACGTCAGATTTTTTCATTCTCTGCTTTGTTTACAAAGGTTTTCCTTTTTTTTTCTATGCGAATCAAACACAAGAAAAATAAATACATTGGTTTCTCACCATTTTTTATGTGCGAATCAAAGCAAAACAATCTATTTCTTGGAAAAGTTTGGAAAACTCAAAACTTGTATTTCTTTACATGGAATTGCATTTCCCTATATCAAGGAAACAAACCAAACAGCCCCCTCAAAACGTTTTAGTCAGTTGTTTCAAATCAAACCCGAGCCAGATTTCCTTCATTTTGTTATTGTGTGGTAGTACAGTTGTTTTCAAAATACGCAGGATGTAGGATCTAATATGAGGAACACCCAATTTATCGTATAAACATTTTGAATACGATCGAGATGCTGATTTTTTTTTATCTCAATTTTGATGGGCAGGTGCCACTATGTAAAAACTATATTGATCCTTTATCTTTGTCAAGTTGGGTGTGCTTCTTATCAACCTTGCAATCAGCAATCTTGACGTATTTCTTGGAGCCGGACTCGAAAGCTTGGAAACTAAATTCTACTTCAGATATTTTGTGTTGCTTGTATGCAGTAAGTGCTTTGTGAACCCCAACTTTAGTTTTAAGATTATTTAAGAAAACCCCCCTTAAAAGCGTGAACCCCAACTTTCACTGGCAATATGTCGTAATTTTACCTATCAATGTGAAACTGTGAGAAACACTATTTTGAGGGTTTTTTTTTTTTTTTTTGATAAAACCTTAAAGTTAAGGGTGTTTTTCTAATGGCCCCTGAACTCGTGAGGGGTTCTCTGATATTATGGAAAGTCACAAGGGGGTTTTCTGTTAATCATCCAAAGTAAAGGGGGGTATCCTGATATTTTGCCTTTTTCTTATCTGTGCTGTTATTTATTATGGAAATTAACTCATACAGGGTGTTATGGGATCCGGTGTAACTTTTTATGTGCAATCCTGGTGCATATCAAGACGAGGCCCTCTCTTCTCTGCGTTATTCAATCCTCTTTACACTGTTATTGTTACTATTTTAGCCATCCTACTGCTTAACGAACATCTATACTTTGGAAGGTACGATTTTGGCTTTTCATTTGCAAAACTTTGTTATTATTTATAAATAGAAAAAAAAAATAAAACTTTGGGATAGCTTACTAGAGGTATGCATTTTGAAAATTTCAGCCTGGTTGGTGCCGTTGCTGTGATTATGGGCTTGTATGTTGTTCTTTGGGGCAAAGCCAAGGATTGTGAGGACAGCACGAGGATGCCACTCACAACTGATGGATCATCAAATAGCTCTGTAACAAATATCAAGGAACCCCTATTAAATTCAAAATTACAACGAGATGAAAAAGTTACAGTTTAGTTGCGTTATACATAGCTGTGTTCTTCTTCAGAATTTCGAAGTTTACTTAACTTGTTGATATGCTTAGTTTTTATTTACTACGAGGGCACTCAAGTTCTATTGTGATGCGAAATGCTAAATGTCTTGTTCTTATTCTTTCCTACTGCATTTTTTTTTTTTTTTACAATGCAAGATGCACGGCCATAAGTTGGTCATGCCATGATTGGCCCATTTTCAAAAAAAAAAAAAAAAAAATCATTATGGCTTTCCGCCACGAGTTTATGTTGTGAGAATATTGGAATAATGTTTGGGTTTTTTTTCTGGATGAGTTGAAAAATCTTCTTTTCAATGAAAAAAACAACAAAGAAAACAAAAGAAAGTAAAAACTCTTTAGCATAAATTTCGACTCATTGAAGATGCCATGAGTTAATTTTCTACTCATACTGACGTCTGCTCTTTTTTTAAACTTAAAATAAAGTATTAAATAAAATTTTGCTGCCTGTCTACAACTTGAATTCAAAAATACAATGTATTTATTTATTTATTTTTCGTTTTTATACACTATTGTGATTATAGATACCATATCATATTATACTTTTTATGAAAGTGTATGTTTAGAAAAAAAAATTCTATGGACAAAAATACCCTTTACATTTGTATGTATTACATTGTTATCCTATTCTAATTAATATAAATAATTAATTTCATGAGAAATTATGGTAAAAATATGTAAATATGCATCATATTTATGTGTTTCATTGCATGTGAAAATATTTAAATGATAAAAGATAAGAAATTCATAATTATAAGTTGATTTTTGTCTCTAATTTTAATTATCTATGATGATTAGTAAAGAGAAAAAAAGTTATTATCTCATCCTAATATTTTTAGATTAGGGGATAATGAATTAATAATTAGGAGTTAGTTTTATCTTTAAAATTAATTATCTATAGTAATTAGTGAAGAGATAAAAACTTTGTTATGCTATCCTAATATTTTTAAATAATTAGGAAAGAGATAAAAAAAATTGTTATCCTATCCTATCCAAAAAAAACTCCCTTGAAATTTTGACAATTTTTAGGTGTTTTCTTTAATCCCTTGATTTTGTAATTTTTGTAAATCTTGAAATTTTTAGTGTGTATTTATAAATTTAAATTTTAGGAAGTATACTGGTCCAAATTAATTTCTTTTGTATCTTGAAAAAGAATGTCCTTATACATATTCAAAATACATAATGCGATACACCTGTTGGATATTAGTGAGAGTTTCAATGATATTTGGGCTTTAGAGTCAAATATCCAAACCTATTATAGAGAGGATAGATATGCGACAATAATTCTAATTATTATAATTCCAATTTAATGAAATTTACCCATATAATTCCAATTTTTATATAGTTTAGCGAAAAATTACCCATATAATTCCAATTTTTATAGAGAGGATATATAGATTGGCTATAATAATAACAACATAAAATCTACATAAACAATCAAAATATTTGACCTTATGCATTGCATGTACAAAAATCCCTTAAATTTGTGAAAAGTTTCAAATTATAACATCGTGATAAAAGATAACGGTTTGATAATTATGAAAAAAACACCCTTAGTACTTTAAAGTTTACAAGAAACACAATAAAACAAATCAAAGATACAAAGTATACACTAAATCTTTACCAATTTGAAATTTACAAAAGGCACCATACAAACTTAGAAAATTGTAAAAACTCCCTTAAATTTAAAAACAAAATTGAATTACAACATTGTGATAAAAGATAACAATTTGATAATTATAAAAATACCCTCAAAATTTAAATTTTAGAAGAATCACAATAAAATAAATCAAAGATGCAAAATATACACTAAAAATCTACAAATTTAAAATTTATAAAAAGTGACCTACAAACTTAGAAAATTACAAAAAGCTCCATTAGAAATTTGAAAATTTTCAAGAATTTTTTAATTCCTTGATTTTGTAATGTTTGTAAATCTTGAATTTTTTGGCATGTTTTTGTAAGTTTCAAAATTTGGGAAGTAAATTGGTCCGGCGTAATTTCTTTCTTTCGAACCTTGAAACTAAATGGCCTCATACCTATTCAAAATATATCATTTGATACGCATGTTGGATATTAGTGAGAATTTCGATGATATTTGGGCTTTTGTGTCAAACACCAAAACTTATTAGGGATTTAGTAAAATTTACTCATATGAATTTCAATTTTTATAGAGAAGATAAATATGCTATTATAATACAAACATAAGTTTTACATAAACAATCAAAGCATTTGACCACATACAATACATGTGCATCTCAACTTGTGACCTAAAACATCTCTCTTCAGTGTATTTGTCACCCAACAAGTGTAATTTGATAATTAAACCTTATTTTATGAAAACAAAATTCTATTTTCTAAGACAAAGGTTATATATGCCCGTTTTTCAGCTTGTGGCTTTCTATTATGTATCCAATCCAAAGTGAACATATCCAAAAAGAGGTATTTGACTAAATGGGTAATTGAAAGAGGTGATAAAATATGTGTCATGTGATAGAGATGATAAATTTAAAGCATGTAGCAATGATTTTTCTATTGTAGTTATGAATATATGAGTATAGTCTCATGTTTGATGTGATAAGAAAAAGTAATGAGTTTAAATAGGAGGTAGGCACAATATGTTGTAGCCATAACTTTTGGGCTATAATTGGTTCCTAACTCTGCTTAAGATCCATCAACTCTAGATTAGGCTCAACCTCTCCCCCAACAAATCTACTCTTCTATACTTAAAGGATAACTAAAGAATCATCGTTCATGCTACAGTAAATTACTTTAGCATAAACAGTGAACCAAATCTACCTTCTATTATTAAAATACTGTTCATGCTACAGTAAAAACTGTTGCATAACATAAAATATTTTTGCTACAGCATTAACATCTGGATCCTTCTTTAAATATAGATATAATTTTTAAATCAAATATATTAAAACTTGAATCTTTTTTTAAGTGTAAAGGAGTAAATATGAATTCTACATCAAATGTATTAAAACTTGCATCCTTCTTTAAGTATAGAGGAGTAGATATAATTTTTTATTTTAAGCATACAATAATCAAATCAAATGCATTAAAAATTAAGAGTGAAACAAGTTCAAAATGCAGTGCTTAAAAAAACAGGAGGTCATGCTTTGCATGGGGTGATGGGGTGCACACTAGTAATAACAGAGCTAAGATCATGGTCCAAGTAATTTAAAAGGAGTGGGGGAAAAAGAAGATGATGAAGTCCAAGTAATTTAAAAGGTGGGAAAGAAGATGAAGTCCAAGTAATTTAAAAGAAAACAAAAAGAGAATATGAAGTCGTAATGTGAAGTCCAAAGATGTGGAGAGAATCCAATGATGCTCGTAGGAGTGATATAATTTTGTTAACCATCATGAGTCAAGTGGTGAAAGAGTTTTAGTGAATTGGTTAGTCCACGAATGAAATGGTGTAGAAGTTAGTAAATCCCTTGGAAGATTGAAGATAGGACAATGAAAGATTAAACTATACTTACTAATTAAGGGATAGTTGTTGAGATTATTAATATGTGAGTATAGTCCAAAATTAGATAGGATAAAAAATAATGAATTTTAAATAAGAGTTAGGCCCAATACTTAGTAAGCATACCTTTTGGGTTAAAATTGATCACTAACCTCTGTTTGAGACTCATCAACTCTAAATTGGACATGATCCCCCCCCCCACCACACACACACACACATTTTCTCCTTTCATATATATTTTTAAAAAGTGGCTTTTTCATATAAACCCAAAATGTTAAAATACAAAAAAACAGATTTAAGAATAATTTAGCATGGCATTTTTGGGTTTACGAGTGATTTTGTGTGAAACTTTGGTTTAACAAGGGGAAAACCCCTAAAAAGGAAGAAAGAAAACAGGGGTTTGTAAGACAAAACACAGCTCAATCGATCATTGACGATGTGAAGCTTCCTTTGACTCTTGTTCATTTGCTACTTGCTACTTGTAGGGTCTCGAAGAAGACAAGACGACTGGTTCTTCAACTGCTTGGTTGTAAGAGAGGATTCTCGCCACGCTTGTAGCGAACTTTGACACTCTTTTGTCTCTTGGCATGTTTTAGTGCCTACACTACCTAGTGAGAGCTACTCAGTATACAGTCATTACAGCCTAGACAATTAGATCCTCTCGCTAATTTAATCCTTATTTAATATCCAAACAAAACTAAACTCAACTAAACATATGCCTACCTCATGAAATAAGCCAAAATATGTAAGGTCCCAACTAGGAGAGGTCACAAGTTAACACCTTCAGTTGTCTTTGTAACTTTGCAATAATGCTAGTGTGAGCCTAAAAATCACTCAAAACCCCCACGTAGATCTTACGTGTAGAAAGCATGAGACCACGTTTTTTAAGTAGTCACAGCTGTACTCTGTTTTCATGCCAAAATGATCAATCAACAGCTAATATCCGGATATGCGTTTATTTGGCAATCATACGATTAAAAATGGTATCTACGAACATTAGCACACAATTGATCATTTTCTTCCTTAGTTTCAAGTCTCTCTCTCTCTCATACTTGTTTATATATCTACAGTGGTGCTCTAAAGAGCGTATGCTCAATACTATAGTAGAATAGTCAGCCTCTATGTAACGCATTGAAATATTAGAAAATCTCTCCATAAAATATCGACGTCAACTGGCACCTACATAAGGTGGGAGCTAACATTCAACAACTATAAGAAAATGAAAACAGAGCTCTCCGCAACACATTAATGTCAAATGACATCCGCATAATAAGTACCAATTATAAGAGAGGGATGAACCCATCTGGACATCCAAGATCTACGTATCAAGAAAATGATACCAGCCCCTGAATTCTTAGGTTACTTTGAGATTAGTCCCTCAACTCATTGAAATTGATATTACGTTCACAATGCTTACAGTTATTTTGTAATCAGTCAAGAAATTATTGAAATTCCTATCACGTCCCCCAATTCCTAAGTAATAAATGACTAACCCTCTGATGCAGTATTATTACAGAGGATGTACCTACCATTACTTACACATTAAATATTTTCTCCCTCTATATATAAGTACTCCGGGTTCATGTATGTGAGGTTTGTGACCTTGTCGATAATAATAATATTCATGGAGGAGGAGTACAAGCCGGTGGTGGCCATGGTGGGCTTGCAGCTCATCTACGCAGGCACGGCGCTAGCCGCGAAGGCGGCGTTCCAGGAGGGGATGAGCCCTATGGTCTTTGTCATCTACAGGCAAGGCATTGCAGCTCTTGCCTTGGCGCCACCCACCATTTTATCTTCAAGGAGGTCTCTCTCTCTCTCTCTCTCTCTCTCTCTCTCTCTCTCTCGATTCTTCCATTATTTAATTGTCTCATTTTAGGAAAAGAGCAAGTCAGAGGACTCTCGGATTGAAGGGATTCAGCTTGCTGTTCCTTACTGCATTGATTGGGTATGCTCTGTTACTAACTTGTCTCTCCGTTCTTTCGTTTCTTTTTCTTTCTTTCTTTCATTTTTTATTTCTTTTTCCTTTTAAATTTTCGCTTTGGTACCCTAAAGTTCACACGTGTGCTCACTTTGGTAAACCCAAATAATTTTTTTAACGTACACTTTGACAACTTAAACGCGTTCAACTCTATTTCACTTTGATATTCCGTCCAGATTTGTTCAATTGTCTATTAAGGGGGTGTTTGGTTCAATTTCTACAAATTATATAGAAAAGTGTCAACTTTATTGAAAAATATCAACTTTATAGAAAAGTGTCAATGTGATGTTGGATTTATGGGTGATTTTCGCTCATTTTGAGTGGAAATTGATTTCTATAAATTTTGGTACTTTTTTGTACTTTACAGAAAATATTTCTGTAAATTTTTTTTAACTAAACACAGTTTACGAAAATCTACAGAAAATTTTTAATTATAGAATTGTCATTGTCAGACATTTTGAGAAAACTTTTCTATAAAATTGTGCAACCAAACACCCCCTAAAATTTTATGGCCTGCTTAACTTGTGGGGTCATTAATTTGGTTGTTTGCAACCATAGAAAGTGGGTAAATTGGACCTAAATACAATAGAAATTTTAGAAAATCTATAAGAACCCTAGACAGAGGTATCAAAGTGAAATGGAACTAAAAATTAAGATATCTGCAAAATGTTAAAAAAAAATTACTTTGGATATCAAAGTGGAAAAAGAGATTAAACTATGGAATACTAAAGTGAAAAGGAGCCTGAAAATTTTTGATATTCTGAGAGCTCTAGCTAGATCTTCTAATCGTAAGTATTCATTAAAATTATTTTTATTTGTTATGATTCGCTAGAAATGTAATTAGCATCACCATAATTTGAGGGATTAATTTTGAACTTAATTAAGAAATGAGGGACCTAACAATAATTACAATGATTTGAGAGGCTAGTTTCCAAAATAACCTAAGACTTGAATAACCTAATATCAATGTGAAAGATTTAAGGGGCTAATATAAAAAAACCTTTTTCTTAGAAAAGAAAGGAAGAGGGTTTTTTTAAATAAAAGAAATAAAAATGATCGGAATTAGTTTTCTACAACGGGCAGAGCCAAAAATTCATAATCGTGATACCACAATATATAAGGACAATATTACTAATTATATATGGACAATATTACTAATTTTTCTTTCATATTAATGAAAAACAATACATTTGTCTCTTTGTTCCCCCACTAGTTTATTGTCTTCTTTCATATTTTAAAAACCTAGATTTTTAGCCCATTTCTTTACTTTGTGGAAGAGAGAGTGAACGAGAAAGAGACGGAGAGGTAACTATTTGATATTTCAGCCTTTAGGGGAGGATCTACATACAGTCCAGGGGGGTCCACGCCCCCCCAAAATTTGGGAAAAAAATTAGGATGCTTTATTCCTCAAGCCCCCTCAAAAAAAAAAAATTTGAGGGGGGGGGGGGCATCGTAATGCTGAAAAGGCATGTGAGGATTTGATGAACCAACCGCAGCATATAACAAGATGATTCGACAACTTCAATGCTGAACAAGTTGCAACAAATCGTCTTCGGTTAAGAGCTCACATACTTGTGGTGCGATTGCTTGCACTCCAAGGGATTCCGTTTAGAGGCCACGATGAGAAATCTAGTTCGTCCAATCGTGGCAATTTTCTTGAATTTTTGGATGTGCTGGCCATGGAGAATGACGAATTTTCAAAGGCAATTGCGAAAGCTCCCAAAAATGCCAAATATACAAGTCATGATATTCAAAAACAAATACTTCATGTGTTTTCAGTGAGATTGAAAAATTCAATTCGTGAAGAAATTGGAGTTGCCAAGTATTACATTATTGTTGATGAAGCCCGTGATGAGTAAAAAAAAAGAGCAAATGTCTATTGTGTTGTGGTTTGTGGACACTGATGGATTCATTCAAGAAAAGAGCATTATTGTCAAGTTTTATGCACAAGATTTTACAAGTGAAGAAAAAGAGAGTTTGAAGATGCAACTGAAACATTATGAGCATAATGTAGTCAAAGGGTCAGACTTCAAAACTCTTTCAACCATTTCTGAGTTGTGTCAATGGTTGGTAAAGACTAATAAATCTGCTACATACGACCTCATTTTTAGAGTGATCGTACTTGTGCTTACTCTTCCAGTTTCTACTGCTACTGCAGAACGATCATTCTCAGCTATGAATATCGTCAAAACTAGGCTTCGAAGCAAAATGGAGGATACTTTCCTCTCCGACGTATTAATGTTGTTTATTAAAAGAGAAATTGCTAAAAGTCTGAGCATTGATGATATCATTGAAGACTTTAAAAATTTTAAGGAACGTCGAATTCCTTTTTCGTTAGAGAAATTTTAGTTATAAAAAAAATAGATGATGCTTATTTGACTATTTTCTATATAATATTTGTCTTCCTCTTTTGAAATATTTTGGATATATTGATGTTGGCTATTCTACTCGTTTTATTTGGGTTGTGGTATATCTCTTGTGAATAAAATTACATTAAGAAATTTTTTTATCTATCTTTTGTACGCGGCCCCCCCAGAACTAAAATCCTGGATCCGCCCCTGTCAGCCTTCAAACACAATCCGTAGGGCCACTTACGCATTTTTTTAATAAAAAAAATAGATCAAAGTACTTTGATATAAGAAATGATAGAGGCACACTCTAAGGCACACCACCAACCATACTCCCTCTCTCTCTCGAGTGCAGGGGGCCCCACATGTGATTTTTTTAAAAAATCACATGTGGGGTCCCCTGCACTGTAGAGAGAGGGAGTGTGGTTGGTATT